GCCTTGGACGAGACACCAGTCAATCAAAGAATACTCACAGACACGCACCACTCACAGCAGGGCCAGCTTTCCCAGAAGCCAATTAACCCACCAGCATGTCTTTGGACTGTGGGAGGAAACCAGAGCACCCATGCAAATAGGGGTTGCATACAAACTTCATGCAGATGGCACCCCAGGTCCGGAATTCAACCACGTGCCCCAGAACTGTGAGGTGGCACGCTGTACCACTGTGCTGCCCATTATGTAAATCAGAATTGATTAAAAACAATATTAACAATGAGAAAAATCAACACTGTCAACATACAAGAAGACACAGATATAAAGAGATTTCAGTTACTCACAGACATTCAGTGTTATATTTAATATTTAGTGTTATAATTAAAAGTACAATATGCAGTAATAATTACCCTCTCTCAGCCTATGTAAAACATTCACATTATTACAACCTGGCCAAGAGGTTTGCAGCACTATGGATCAGAAGACAAAGCAGCAAAAGGAAGAAAATAATGAATAAATGTTAACAGCATAATGGGACATAACGTAAAAAGACATGCCATTGTTAATACTGCCAAGGGTTGGGCGACTTGGACTTTCCAGAGGAAAAATGGGACAAATCTCACTGGACACTGAACCAAAAACTGTAAAAATCTCATTCTCATAAATCCTCAGCATGTCAAATTCATCACATGAGTTCAGTTAAGTCAATTTGAGATCTATACTGTACATAACACAAGAACATGAAAGTCTTAAAAAAGGGGTCAGTTAACTTTGCACAGATAATTTGAGATGAATAATTTAAGTCTGGCTATGACTCTTCTGTCCTTGAACACTTTATAGTTCACAAAAATCCCAAAAAACCTTAATACCCTTTTATTCTTTGTTCTTGTTTGAGTGCAAACACGGTCACATTCGTGGTGCCTGCCTACCGAAGAAGAGATAACCCGAATCAATTCTACATAATGCACAGGGAATGTATATTTAGACCCATTAATATGCCCAATATTTACCTTGCAGGGCTCATTTTCCGCTCTGCCAGGCGACCCTATCAATATTTTACTGCAAGGACTTTCCCATGCGTGGCCTATCAATTATTCTTTCAGCAAAGCGAAGGCTAACAAGACATACCGATGGGGATGTTTAAATTAGCCAAACTCGTGTCTTTCATTTCTTCATCGTGATCTTTCAGAAAGAAAGAAAAGACAAAGCCTTCAAGGAAAGTCTTCATGGGCTCCCCTAGGTCTGACATTTCCCTTACAATTTGTTAGTGATTGGCTCTAAAAGGACTGATGTGTGATCCGCACAACATAAACAGAAAATTACCACTTTCTTCAGCAGTACAACATTGCTGTTTCACATTAAAAAAAAGTCCTATGGACTCAAAGTAGTCCTTACTACTGAACAAACTACAGAATAGACTGCTGACTATTCCAAAGATGCTTCATGATCTGGGCAAATGGAGGCCCCGTGGTTTAATCCATAAGCACAGCACCTTCATCTTGGAATTTCATGCTCCTAATTTGAATCCCATTTTCTGTCTTTGATGAGATGTCAAGAATGCTGAGTGTCCATCCCCCTGGGCACTTCCTCAGGTTCTAACAAAGCTAAATTACAGAGAGTTCAGGATATGCCCGTCGTCTGTTCTTAGGATTGATATTTCCTTTTGGAAAAAAAGGATAAGGAGAGTAAGAAAGGTAGAACAGCTTACCTGGTAATTACCTACCCACTTCCTCCTACATTAGTCGTCTACAATGTGACAAAAATAAACCACACGTACGATGCACATTCCACATTCAGTGCTGATACAGCGCTTAGAATTTCACAGGCATTCTACAGAGATGAACAGTGCATTTTTCCTGGGTACCTGCAGGGAGGGAGGCTGCAAACAGCTGGTAATTACTGTGCATATGGTACAACCGTTAATTGAGGCCACAAGTCCGAGTTCCTAATGAGCCTCACAGTTTTTTTCTTTTTTGGGGGAAGATAATACGTGTGGAGAAAAAGCAAGAGCTGAACAACTAGCACATGATTGCTCTACTCTCAGCCACTGCAGCCTTGACCCAGTGGGTTTTGCTTTAGAAATGAAAAGCTGCCACTGATGGCAAATGGCAGCATCCACAAGATGAAGAATAAAATCTAAGTGCAGTATAAATAAACAGCTATGTGAAAGAAAGGACAACAAAGCTGTGCCACAAGTACCCAGAGATAGTCTCCCAAACTCCAGAATCCAATAGGTTTTCTATCTTCCTAAATTCTAATCTGCTGGTCCTTTTGGATGGAGTGTCAGATTGATCCAATTAAGGTTTAACTGGTCCAATTCAACCTTCTGCATAGCCTTCAGCTGTTACCAATTTTAAGAGAGACGGAAAATCTACTTGACACCAGCCCCACAGGACTGAAGTTGGGAAACATTGTATAAGGAAACATAGCACATCTGCCTCAGTAAGCTTGTCTGACAAACACTTCAGTCCCATGTTGTCTCTTAACGCATTATCTCTTCCATACCATCCACCCTGTTATGATTGCTCTATCTCACTGTGAACAAAAAATAAATAAAGTGTGCTCTATATTTTGTAACCCATATGAAGCTTTGGTTTAGAACTCAAGATCATGTTTTGTTGGCTCTTACGCACTGAATGCATTTTCTAAAAGAACTCATTAGCTGAATGAAATATAACGGTCATTTCAGTGAACCAAGCAAAAATGATGAGATCTTTCAGCCTTTCAACCTCAAACAGAAAAAAACCCATCTGGATACTGCCATTCCAAATCCAGAAAGATCAAAATATATATTAAATAAGTTTCGCCATTCTTAAAAAGCAATACCAGTATAAAACTGATTAGAGGTTATTAGAAACTTCTAAAGTACTGTAATTCAGTTGGTTAATTATGTTAGCAGCTGCTCATGATGTCGCGTTTTCAGTGTTTTGTGTCGATTCATTTTAGGATATTAGATTAAGATAAATTATTTGGGGGGCATATGTTAGGGTTGCCCGTTTCATGTTATGCTTCATGCTGTATCATTATGTCACAGCAGTAACATAACTATGATTCAACTTACCAGCGTGTGCTTTACAAGCAGATTTGTTTAGGTATTTAGACAACAGAAAAGTAGATAACACTGAGGATCACAAAGTATATAAATAATGGTTCGGTGTTATTTACAATATATGAATTAAGGAGGGGATCCAGCTGAGATACTGTATAACCCCCCTGTCCCCCAGTCTTCCAATTTTGTGTCTGAATTCTTACTGTCCTTTTCCCTATAGTCCTGGTACAGTAGATGTTCTCTCATTGTAATTACAAGGTTTATCTTCCACTGATCCATCTTTACCCCCTATCTTTTGAACGTCAGGACAAAAACTATACTTGAAGGAAGACAAAGGACTGGGTGACATACGGTACATTGCTTTCACAGCTGATGATAACCACAACAGCCACAATTGGTTACAGCAATCTTGTTCTGGCCCAGAAGTAGGTGCTACACTCAACAGGGGATACTATGATAGTACTTAGCCATAAGAGAGTCTTCTAATATAATGAAAACTGCTTGAATCTTTTTTTTTCATACAATTTAATATATCGTTGCCTTGCAGCACTGGGGCCTGACTTGAGTTCTGGACCCGGGGTGCTGTCTGCACAGAGTTTCTTCTCCCCGCAGTCACATGGGCTTCCTTTGGGCGCTCTGGTTTCCTCCCACAATCCAAAACACATACTGGTGGGTCAACTTGTTTCTGGGAAAACTGCCCCAGGCACATGTGTCTTTGTTTGTCTCTATGTGATGGACTGGCATCCCATTCACAACGTACCCTGCCTTGCGCCCGTTGCTTGCAGAGATAGACTCCAGCTGCCCTGTGACCCTGAACTGGATGAAATGGTAAGAAATGGATGGATATAAATCCTATCACTATGATCAGGTTTCCTGAAATGGTGATTCACAACTGGTTGAACACTGTGAGGTTTAGGATGATTTGGCCAGGATCCTCTTGGCACAAATGTGGCCTCTGCAAATTGTCAGGTACCTGCAAGATTGCAGTGGCATCACTAAGAACTATACTGCTCCTCCCATCAGTGCTTGTACACGTGTGGCACTGTGGAGTTTGTGGTACTGTATGTCAAATGGAGCATGACCATTATGTATGATGTATGTCAGAGGAGCACATCTGTCAATCTGTCCTGAACAGGGACAGAAGTTGCAGACAGAGATAAGAGTCATAACAAGTGGAGATTCTAAAATGTGGGGAGATATAATAAAAAATAATCCAAAAATGGAAATTGTATAGCTCTATATCATTTCTTGCTATCAAAGGGTGTGGGCATATAATAATAATAATAATAATAATAATAATAATAATAATAATAATAATACATAACCTGGTATTGAAGCATTTGAATGCCCTGCAAACAGTATTCACTCAAACTGGTCCTGAACTACTTAATTGCAAGTAAGATTGGTCTTCCGGAAGACACATTTAATAGACTGAGATTCTGTCTGCATGAACCATGGACGAAAAGAAAAAATCCCCTAGCACACATTCTTCTGAAGCAGGGTGTTAATCAAGGTGTCATGGCCAAATCCAATTGCTGTAATAAAATCTGGCCTCTAGGATTCCGCTGCTCTTCCCTATCAATTAAAGGGAAGCTAAGATTCCCACTCCACTCCCCTATAGGGCTATGCACATCGAGTATACAGAGATACAGGTATCCAGGTAGAAAATAATGTGCAGTACATACAGCAGTCCAGGTTTTTATTAATACTGTAGCAAACTAGGTTTGCTGGTTTGACGTGGATAGTGTGATGAAATGCTTTGTGCTAGAGCTGTGATGTGAGATTCTATATGAACAATAGCATTCTTTCTTCCAGTCCTGGCATTATTTTTAAGAAGAATGCAAGCTGGGAAGCTTGAAAAATTAAACAGGATTTCCAATTCATACTTTAGCTGATAGACTGTTGCAAAAAAAATTACTTCACAAGAGACTAACAGGATGTGAAAATGACTTACCTGTGACGGCGACTGCAGAGATTTTGAGATATTTCCAGCCCAGGCACAACAAAGAATGGCAAATAAAAAAAAAGAGAAAAACACAATTAGATTACGAGTCATCTCAGACCTAGATCACATTAACTAATTAACACTGATATAAAAACTAATCCAATGGAAGTCCTTAAACTGTATAAACTTATAGACCTCCCGGTCCGATCAACTGCTCATAGTCCTAAAAAATGTTTTAAATTTTTTTTTTTTTATTGTGTGTGTGGTCTTTATTTTACAAAGCTAATGTTCAAGTACATGAAGTCTGCAAAGATGTGAAAACACACAGTACGTCGTGATCACAGATTGATCTGGTGGTCTCTCAGGTATGGAGAAATGGTTGACAGTATTGACTGTACATGAGCAATGCACAACAGCAAAGGTTTTCATGGAACACACTGACACCAGCAAACTTGCTTATTGCTGAAAGAGCTTAACACAGAGGAGGTGTGATCTGAGGGCTATCACACCTCTGGCTTATTCCCCAAGGACAAAGGCCAAAAGACAGGCTTTGCTGGAATCTCATTTATCTTTTTTTAGGAAAAAAAAAAGGGAGGTCGAGCCAAAGTCACAATAAGAGCATTCAAATAAAAGTCTGGAGTTTCCCCTCTCTTCTTTAATCATTATTTTAACGAGCCTGCGAAGGCAAGTGTGAAGGTTTGCAAGCAGCAGCAAGCAGGCCAGGAGTTTTGAAAGGTAATACATCATTCCTTCTCACAATGCTGTCAATTTCAAACATTACTGCACAGCTACCGGCCATCAATCCTCAACAAGCGTGCACAAGCATGCGTGTGTGCAGATACTTAGCCTTAGCTGTTAATATAAAGGCAGAGACTGGAGGCCTTATTAAAGTAGCAAGGAAATAAAAAAAGGATAAAACACAATCCCGGAGTACATTGAGAAGAATGCCCACTCACTCCATGATCATAAATGGAGCATGCAATATTTTGTATTGTGCTAGTGGGGTCCTAACAAAGGCCGACATGCCCTCAGGCCTAGCAAAACGCGTTCCATGCGAGGGGAGTTATTAGAGCCCCACTGATCTGAATTGTTCCCAGTATTTGAAAAGACATCCGTGGCAGCCTTGACAAATCTTTCAAATGGCTTTGATTTATTTTTTCACACACGCTAAATGCTAAGTCTCCTTTATGCTACTCACCAACTGAAGGTACGTTTACCTCACGGAGGTTGTGAGTACAGAACAAGCTAAAGGTTAAAGGTTCATAGCCCAAATGTACAACACATGTAATTGCTTTTTTAAATTAGACAAACAAGCCCTCTTTTACAACTTTACAGCTACTACATACTCCACAATGATTTCTCACAACTACAGCTGGACCTTTATTAAGTGTGGCTTCAGGCAACATGTTTAACTTCACATTTAAATGCTGGTACAAATTATTAGATGAAAAGAGACGACTGTAAACCGCACAGCAAAATCTTCCCCATACATTTTTCATTTAAAAGATTCGGAAATAAGACAGCACAGTGGCACAGTGGTTAGCATTACTGCCTCGCAGCACTGGGGCCCTGGGCTCCGTTCCGGACTTGGGGATCTATAGTATCTGAGTGGAGTTTGCATGTTCAACCTGTGTAGATTTCCCCCAGGTGCTCTGGTTTCCTCCTACAGTCCAAAGACACGCTGAAGGTGAACTGGCATCTGGTATCTGGGAAAATTGGCCCTGGTGTGATTGTGTGATTGTCTGTCTGCCCTGTGATGGACTTACATCCCCATCCAGATTTTACCCTGCCTTGCACCCACTGTTTGCCAGGATAGGCTATGACTCCCTCACATGTTAACTCCCTATGCCTATGTTCATCTGGCTACTTTAATATTGTAGATCTAATCAATATAGCAAGGAAGACTGCTATGAATCTTCTTCATCATTTCAAGTAACTTGTTCCGAAAACCCCCCAGCTCTGCTCTGAACACCATTTTCTGAATTGAATGTTGAGTGGAGAAATCCTCCTACAAATTGGGAAGGGAAGTAGTAACAACAAAAAGAAAATGGTAGTTTGCATTTATTCAGCGTAATACAAAAAAGAAGTGTTGCTGAACCATTCATTTCATTATTCTCCGATTCCTCTGCTTTATCTGAAAGCAATTTGCCCCAGGCTGCATTTCACAAGCGATTAATAAAGATATTTTCTAATGTTATTCAGGGATTTATTAGACACATTGGGGTACTTGTAACTTAAATAATTACATCTGGCTCTGTTGTAGCAAATACTAGAGGGAGGCAGAGTGCACATTGTTGGGAAATTCAATTGTACGTTCTTCATGGTCGACTGCACCCAGTATGAAATCTGAGAAATGAAGCTTTACAGCAGCTCAATGCAATTCATGTTTGCTGTAAAGCTGCTTTCTGTGCTTGTTTTACAACTCTTAGCAACTGTTCTCAGACTCATGTTGGCCTAAAAGCTCAAGACCATGCACAGCCATAGTCACTGTCATATACACACGTTTTAAAAGTAACCAGCCCTGGACAGCTAGATCACTTCCTTACTTCCTGTTCGTCAGATCTCAGAGGCAAAGCATGGCTGGAACTGATGGCCCTTTGAATGGACCTTCAAGGAAAACAGTACAAGCATGCAATTCACAAGTCTAAATTAAGACAAGGTGATATGTTTAGCATTACAGTATACTGTAAGAAATGTCATACTGTAAGAAAGACAATATTAAGTGCACACACAATAATGAATAACTGTACTGTATATGCACATTGTTACCATGCAGACAGAGACTTATTATTTTCACATTTTATTGTATTACAATAAGGAATCATATTGTATTTGATTGGCATTTCTTGCCACTACTCAACACAAAAAACTCAATGAGTAAACATTGTACAGATATTACTTAATTAATTATAAATATGAAACATATGATTGCATAAATATTCAAGGCAGATTTGTAAAATTATTTTCAGTTTGACATGATAGAATGCTTTGTATTGATCAAAAGCAAAAAATATAAAATTAAATACATGAAATACTATGATTCCATATACCAACAATAACATGTGAAAAGTCCAAGGGAATTAATACTTTTGATAGTCACTGTATAGTCTTTTTACTCAAATAGCTGTTGAACTTACAGGTTTCTGAGTTTGACTGATTCTTAACTATGTTAAATCCTCTTAGAGGATTTGATAAGTATACATGTAGTTCCTGATAAATCATTTCTCATGTAGATTTCACTGACTTTTATTTTGGAAACCGTGAGGGCCCCTTCAGAAGAAGCCTGAATTTTGTTTTCTAGTTACAAAGTTGAATTATTTTCCACAAGAAACTATTTTACTATTTGCGTACCGTAAGTTTACTTCTGAAAATCAGACAGGCACTTCCAAGGACAAACCCTAAGGACACCAAGGGGACCTCAATCCTCCACAGGGGAACCATGCTGTATAGCTCTGCTGTACAGCCAGCTGTCGTCCTAGCTTTGAGAGAAGATGTGCGTAGCAAGCTCTGCTGTTCAGAACAGTGCAATCAACAGAGCAGACACCTCAAACCTCCAAACAAATTCTTTACATTTCACAGCCCTTTATTTCTCCAAGGTAATATACCACCTCCCAACATTACAGTGCATGGGACAAGCATATCCACCCTTCCCAGTGAAGGCATATTAAAGAGAAAATATATCACTATGCACTCTAGTCGGGTTGTCTTGCGAGCAGAGGGTTGCAAGTCAGACCTTGCTATATTTTATAGGTACAGGGGTTTCTGACTTTTTTCTCATCAGCGCCCTGTCAAAAGCTTTAAGAATCGCCTAATTTATTTGACATAGATCAACTTGTCCTTATTGCACTTGACAGTTGGCTGATGAGGTCTTGACAGAGAGGCCCAATAGGTTCCCACTGCGAGAGCAGTACCCAGTTTAATTGACCCCTTTCTCCTGTGTTTTATCCCAGGTTAATAGAGTCCCATTTATTAACATCTTAATTTAGAGACGGCATTGTTAAACGGTGCAAATGATGTCAGAATGATGACCTTGGACTTCAGCTGCCAATATGACCTTCTTCATATTCTTAAAGAGAAATCATTACCGATTTTAACTCTAAAGACCTTTGAGCGATGTCCACTAGCTGATGAAAAAATAATTCCGTGCCTATATACATTCGCATATTGGAGATATGTGCATTAAACTTGCATACAAAGCTATTTTTTAACTTCCCTGCCATTACATAGCAGGAAATAGTCAAATCCAAAACAAAGATACACGGAGAGTAAAGTCAAAAAGATGCTCAGAGGGAAAAAGAGCCAAATAATTAAGTGCTGATACCTAAATACAGGTGCTTCTAATAAATTAGGAGGGTGGGAACCACTTACACAGGCAATTATGCTGTTACTGGAATCACAGAAACAAGGCTGACAAAAGGCTATAGAGATGAATGCAACATTATAGGATACACAGTGATCCAGAAAAATAGGGGAGACTATTTAGCACGACACAATTAATCAAAAAGAGTATTCATGCACAGGAACTTAGACGAGAGGAATAAAGGGTCAAAGAACATATAGACTTATTATTAAACATTCTAGAGGTATAGGGTAGGAATATGCAATAAACTATCAAATGCAGATATTATTTGTAGTTAATTCAACGCTGCATAATGAAATAAAAAATTTCTGACATGGTTAATGAAGGCTTTCTTATTCAATTTGTCCAAGTCTCTGCAAGAGGCAATGCTTGTATTGATCTTATTCCAATTAATCAAGCCAGAGAGAGGCAAACAGACCATTTGGAAAATGTGGTTGTAATATTTAATGCTTTGAATATGAATATGAAATCAAAAGTTTATAATTAGAGGAAAGCGGACTTGAAGGAACAAGACAAAGTATAAGAGAAGTAAACTGGGATAAGACAGGTACAGACTCAGCAGACAATGCAAAAGTTACACACGTTATAAAATAATTAATAAAACACCAGCAGCCAGTTAGAGAAAAAATGAAAATGATATTAGAAAAGCCAAGAGAATATT